TTTGCCACATTCCTCACATTTGTAGGGTTTCTCTCCAGTATGAATTCTCTTATGTGTAGTAAGGCTTTCCTTTTGGTTAAAAGCTTTGCCACAGTCTTCACATTTGTAGGGCTTCTCTCCAGTATGTATTCTCTTATGTGTAGTAAAGTGTGCAGATTGGTTAAAGGCTTTGCCACATTCCTCACATCTGTAGGGTTTCTCACCAGTATGAATTCTCTTATGTGTAGTAAGGCTTTCCTTCTGATTAAAAGCTTTGCCACAGTCTTCACATTTGTAGGGCTTCTCTCCAGTATGAATTCTCTTATGTGCAGTAAGGTGTGAGAACCAGATAAACCCCTTGCCACATTCTTCACATTTGTAGGATTTCTCTCCGGTATGAATTATCTTATGTCTAGTAAGTTGTGAGACCTGGTTAAAAGGTTCTCCACATTCTTTACATTTGTAGGATTTCTTTCCAGTATAGTTTTTTTTATATGTAGACAGGGTTGAAGCCTCATTGTATACTTTGACATATCGTTTATATTTGTAGGGTCTTTCTTGAGTATGAATTATTTTATGTTGAGCTAACTGTGAAAGTGTACAAAGGGACTTATCACATTCTTTACATTTGAAAGGATTCTTTCCAGTTTGTCTTATCTTATGTCTGTTTGAATTTGAAAATTTTTGAAAGACTTTCACAAATGTGTTGCATGGAAATATTTTGCTCCGGGTAGTTGTGAAAAACTGGTTAAGTCCATTGTCACATTCTTTGCGCACCTTACATTCAAACACGCTTTGACAACATTTTCTTAAATGCAAATTTTTATGTCCACATTTTTTACATCTTCTCAGTATCACATTTTGGAAACAATTTTTTATGCCCTGCTTTGGCCAAAGGTCTCGGGCAAAATAAGAACACACAGCTGAAAGAAATAAAAATAAGAAATTACTTCACTTGCTAGACTCAGATTTATACACAAATCTTCCCTACAAAATCATGCAAAGTACATCACCAGACGGCACAGCAAAATGTTAGAGGCTCAAATTTTTTCACAGATGTATACATGTAACAAAAACATACAGAACTAACTACATTTGTAAAAAATTAAGTGTGTGCAATGCCCCAAATGAGCCTAATGCAAACTGCCGCATAGAAGAAAAGTCTCTTAAATTTACCAAACGCCTTCCCAATATAACATAATGACTTTAGAAATAAATTGCCAACTTCTGGTTTCTTTTTTAGAAGACAAGTAAAATACTGCCTTATACATCTTTATTTCTGAATGGTATGGTTTTTACAAACACTGGTTCCTGTCTCTCATTACATAAAGGTCTAAAATAAATAGTGGTATTTTTTCAAATGACAGTTTGAGTCTGCTGAGATACAAGGTAAGTTTTATAACAGCAGAAAGACTGTGGTACAACAGACAGCAGCAGAAAGACTGTGGTATCACAGACAGAAAACAATTGTAGCAAGTGATTACTGGTTAAGAAGAAACATAAACAGGCTGAGTTTGTTGCTTCACACCTGTAATCTTAGCACTTTGGGCGGCCCAGGTGGGTGGATCACCTGAGGTCAGAAGTTTAAGACCAGCCTTGGCAACATGGGAAAACCCTATCTCTACTAAAAATACAAAATTAGCTGAGCATGCAGATACATGCCTGTAACTTTAGCTATGTGTGAGGCTGAGAAAGGAGAATCACTTGAACCTGGGTTCAAGTTTTAGCTGCAGTGAGCTAAGACAATGAGAGGAAAGGAACATAAGAAAAAGAAGAAGGAGGAGGAGGAATAATAATGAGTAAACTCCTTTAACTAAAAACCAAAAAGAAAATTTTAGACAAGGCACATTCTAAGAACATGTTTGAGAGACTCCCAGAATCTCTAGCCAAGATGACCGTTTTCAGTCTATGTCAGAAAAAAAATGACATTTTAAATATTGTGACAGGTAGCTTTTTTTTAATGTCTAAATATCAATCAACTATTACAATGTATACAAAACTGGACAATATAATTTCATCAAAAATATTATATAATTTTCAGAAAGAAATCATAAATATGTACATGTTAATTTTTAAACACTGATAATAAATTAAATATTCAATGACTGAAACAGGAACACAGACTACTGTAGAAAATCAGAAAAATAAAAATGGAAATAAATATATCTAATATATTTTCTTAAATTTTGGAGGTAAAAAATAGAAAAATAAGTAACTGGAAAAGCCAAAAAGAAAAAATAATGTAAAAATGAAGAATTTCAACAAAAAAATAGAATACATACAAAGATATTTATAACGAATACATATAAGCACATTTTCAAAAATCACAGATAAGAAGAAAGTTGTGGAAGCTGCAAAATAAAAGTAATGTGTCATTTACAAACATAGTCTTATGATATAAGCAGTCAATTATCAACAAAACTTTTGCCGAGCAGAAAGAAACTGTGTGACACAGTCAAAGTCCTGGGAAGAAAAAAAAAGGTATCATGTGAGGACAATAACCATTAGCAAATCTGTCCTGCCAAATAAAAAGAAAAAACAATTCTGGGTTGGGTGTTGTGGCTCACTCCTGCAATCCCAGGACTTTGGGAGGCTGAGTCAGGCAAATCATGAGCTCAGGAGATCAAAACCAGCCTGGCAACATGGTGAAATCCCGTCTATACTAAAATTACAAAAATGAGCTGTGTGTTTTCAAAAACAATGAAAAAGCGATCAAATCTTTCATTCTCTTTTATGCCACAAAGAGGACTTTGGCTGTCACTGTAAATGTGAAGGAATATCACCAAAGGGAAAGTAAAATGTTAGAGATTTTAAAAAGACAAGACTGAAGATGTTTCTATGTGGGAAAAAAAAAAAATAGGTAAAAAAAAAAAAAAAAAAAGTCAGGCTTCCCAGAAACTATTTTCTATGAAACACAGATTTCCAAATCATGTTAAGGACTGGCTTTTTCTTACTTGGACCTCTCATCTGTGACGTTTGTTGTACTCACTTTCATTCTCACCTACCTGGAGGTTCAGCTACCATCTCATGTCTCGTCACATTCCAAGGTTCTTTTCCTTGCTCCAAACAGGTGATCAGGTCTGGCTTAGAGGCAGCAATACCTGTTTTATTAAAAATTACATGAATCTTGCTCATATTCTCCAATTACCAACTTAGTAGTGTGCTCAGTAAGAAGAATGTAATAGAACATTCTAGTAAAATAATTCTAAAATACTAATTGATAACAAAAAATTTAAAATATTTTAAAAAATATTTTAATTTTGTAAGTTCTTAATTTTACTAACTGATACTACTAAATCAAAAATTAGTATTGACAATCAGATTTTTAGATGTCAGCAACAGTATGTTATGCCACCAAATTTCTAAAATTAACACTAATCTAGAGTGAACGACACAGATCAGCTCAGGAATGTGGAAAGTTCAGGTCAAAATTAAACATCTTAAAATTATTTTTTACTAGACAAATCTTGAAGTTTTTTTCTAAACAGATCTAAAAGCAAAAATTACCAAAAATTATTCCTCAAAAAAAAAAGTAAATAAATAAAACTTAGAATGTATATTAGAAAATTGTACATTGACATGACACTCACCCAGGAAGACCAGGTTTCTGTAGTTCTCTAACATCACATTCCTATATAAATTCTGCTGTGCAGTGTTCAGGCATTGCCACTCCTCCAGAGAGAATTCTATGGCCACATCCATAAATGTCAACACTCCCTGAAAAACATACACACACATACACATTTACCAAGTGGCCATCAGTGGAATTTTTAATTTGACTCAAGGTAAAACAAGAATAAAGAGAACTTGTTCTTACTTACAGGAGTGACTGACAATATCTAATAAATAACTTTCAACACAGAAAGTTCTCTAATTCTCTAATGTATTCTCTAACTGTGAGAAAAGACAGTGGCATAAGACCCACAACATCAACATATACATATCACTTTCTAGACAATGAAGTATAAAACTGAGGGCATAAACACTAACATGTACATTTTTGAGTGCTCTATTTACATCATACAGAATGAGTTGTGTAAATTTTTCAGATGGAAAAGACATACTGAGTTGGAAAGTACTGCTCAAATTTTAATGTGTACAATAAACTGGAGATCTTGTGAATGCAGATTATAGTTTCAGAAAATCTGGAATAAAATCTGAGTTTCTGAATATCTAACAAGCTCACCACGAATGCTAATGTTTTTGGCTCAAGAAAACTATTTTGTTAAACATCCAGTAAGCGAAAGAGGCTGTGTGTTTTTCAGTTTTTATGGCCTGTAAACAGAGATGAGAGCTTTCATTTTCCAAAGACAGATACATGCAAAGAAAACCTAAGAAAGGGCAGCTGCCAGCTTAAAAGTGACTGTTTATCTACATCAGCTGCATAAAGATACTTAATAATGGAGAGAAAAATAATTAACTCTATAGAAAAAAGAAAATCTGTCACAAAGCTCATTAACCAAGTGAGTTATTAACATCAACTACATGAGGTCAAATTTCTATGATGTGCTGAGACACACAGAAGGACCCTACGTAACTTCCCTCTCAGAAGTAAATCATAATCTGAATTTAATCATAAAGAAACATCAGTTTGGCCAGGCGCAGTGGCTCCCATCTGTAATCCGAGCACTTTGGGAGGATGAGGCAGGCAAATCACAAAGTCAAGAGATCAACAGCATCCTGGTCAACATGGTGAAACACCATCTCCACTAAAAATACAAAAATCGCAAGCATTCCTATAAGCCAACAATGAACAATAAAAAAGCCAAATCATACATGAACTTCACAACTGCTACAAAAAGCTTAAAAGATCTGGAAATGCATCTAACAAGGAATGGGAAGGACTTCTTCGAGGAAAACTACAAAACACTGCTCAAGGAAGTAAAAGAGCACAAATCAAATGGAAAAACATTCCATTTTTATGGACAGAAAGAATCAGTATTAGGTCGGGCGTGGAGGCTCATGCCTGTAATCCTAACACTTTGGGAGGCTAAGGCGGGTGGATCTCCTAAGGTCAGGAGTTTGAGATCAGCCTGAGCAACATGGAAAAACCATGACCAACGTGGAGCAATCCTGTCTCTACTACAAATACAAAATTACCTGGTACGGTGGTGCATGCCTATAATCCCAGCTACTTGGGAGGCTAAGGCAGGAGAATCACTTGAATTGCTTGAACCCAGGAGGCGGAGGTTGCAGAGCTGAGATCATGCCACTGCATTCCAGCCTGAACAACAAGAGAAAACACTGTCTCAAAAAAAGAGAAAAAAAAGAAGAAGAAAGAAAGAATCAACATAACAAATTAAAACATAATAAAAGCAGTCATACTGCACAAAGTATGGATTCAATGCTATTTTCATAAAATCACTACTGACGAATTCTTCACAGAATTAAAAAAAAGAAACTACTTTAAAGTTTACATGTAACCAAAAAAGAGCCTGTATAGCCAAGACAATCCTAAGCAAAAAGAACAAAGATGAAAGCATCACTCTACCTGACTTCAAGCTATACTACAAGGCTACAGTAACCAAAACAGCATGGTACTGGTACAAAAACAAACATACAGACCAATAAAACAAAAAAGAGACCTCAGAAATAACACTACACATCTATAACCAACTGATATTCAACAAACTGGACAAAAACAAGCAATGGAGAAAGAATTTTCCATTCAATAAATAGTGCTGAGGAAACTGACTAGCCATATGCAGTAAAACTGGATCTCTTCCTTACATCTTCTACAAAAATGTACTCAAGATGAATTAAAGTCTTAAATGTAAAACCCAAAACCATAAAAACCCTAAAAGAAAACCTAGTAGGCCTGATGTGGTGGCTAACACTTGTAATCCCAGCACTTTAAGAGGTGGAGGTGGGCAAATCGCTTGAGGTCGGGAATTTGTGGCCAGCCTTACCAACATGGAGAAACCCTGTCCCTACTAAAAATACAAAAAATTAGCCAGGCATGGTGGAGCATGCCTGTAATCCCAACTACTTGGGAGGCTGAGGCAGGAGAATTGTTTGAACCCAAAAGGCAGAGGTCGCAGTGAGCCAAGATCACATCATTGCACTCCAGCCTGCGCAACAAGAGCGAAACTCCATCTCAAAAAAAGGAAAAAAAAAAAGAAAAAGAAAACCTAGGAAATACTATTTAGGACATAGGCATGCGCAAAGACTTTATGACAAAAACACCAAAAGCAATTGCAACAAAAGCCAAAATTGACAAATAGGATCTAGTTAAACTAAAGAGCTTCTGCACAGAAAAAGAAACTATCATCAGAGTGAACAGGCAACCTACACAATGGGAGAAAGTTTTTGCAATATATCCAACAGACAAAGGTCTCATATTCAGAATTTACACGAAACATAAAAAAAAAATTACAAGAAAAAGACAATCTCATCAAAAAATAGGCAAAAGATGAACAGACACTTCTCAGAAGACATTTATGCAGCCAACAAACATACCACTCAGAATGGTGATTATTAAAAAGTCAGAAACAATAGATGCTGGTGAGGCTGTGGAGAAACAGGAATGCTTTTACACTGTTGGTGAAAATGTATATTAGTTCAATCATCATCGAGAACAGTGTGGTGATTCATCAAGAATCTAGAACTAGAAATATTCACCCAGCAATCCCATTACTGGGAATATACTCAAAGCCATATACATCATTCTACTATAAAGACACATGCACACTTACGTAATAGTTTATTGCAGCACTATTTACAATAGCAAACAAATGAAACCAACCCAAATGCCTATCAATAACAGACTGGATAAATAAAATGTGGTACATATACACCACATACCATGCAGCCATAAAAACAAATAAGATCGTGTCCTTTGCAGGAACATGGATTAAGCTGGAAGTCATCATCCGCAGCAAATTAACACAGTGATAGAAAACCAAAAATCACATGTTCTCACTTGTAAGTGGGAGCTGAACAATGAGAACACATGGACACAGGGAGGGGAACACCACACACTAGGGCCTGTTTTGAAGTGAGGAGAAAAAGGAAGGTACCTGGAGGATGGGTCAATATGTACAGCAAACCACCATGGCACACATATATGTATGTAATAAACCTGCACATGCTGCACATGTATCCTGGAACTTAAAAATAAGTATTCAATATTTCATCATTGCCGGGCAGGGTGGCTCACACCTGTCATCCCAGGACTTTGGGAGACTGAGGCAGACAAAAGTTCGAGATTAGCCTGACCAACATGGAGAAACCCTGTCTCTAGTAAAACTACAAAAAACTAGCTGAGTGTGGTAGCCTGTAATCCCAGCTACTTGGGAGGCTGAGGCAGCAGAATAGCTTGAATCCCAGAGTCGAAGGTTGCAGTGAGCTGAAATCGTACTATTGCACTCCAGCCTGGGCAACAAGAGCAAAACTCCGCCTAAAAAAAAAAAAAATCATTATTAAGAAAGCCATTTTTTTCTCTTTCTCCTTCTTCTCTAGGATTTCTTCTCAGATAAGATTATCTGGACAAATTACACCTACATCTTGAGAATATGCCTTGAAAAGTGTCAGTACCACGTTTACCTGCTAACACCACATCCACAGGCAGAACAACCAAAACAGAAAAACTCCACCCATTTCTATACTTGTAACAGAAGAGATTCAGGAAAAATAAGCTGCTCCACAGACAACAAAATATAAGTTTATTTTTTCCTGTCCTCAGGCGCCCTCCCCTGCCAGTAATTTCTGCTACAATAATGAAAATATGAGCCAGACTGCCCTGTCCCTATGAAACCCAAAGAAAAGAGGCTCTAGGACCACCCTTTTAAGTGCACAGGTGAAACTTAACTCTCACAAATGTATCTTGAACCCCCTATACTTGATTCTGGCCGCAACTTAGAGTCACATGAGACAGTTAATTAAAACAGCATGAATGCTTCCACCCAGAACATTCATCAGAACCTGTGACAGGAAGAGCACCAGGAAAGAGATTTCTGCAAATTAGCCACGTGATTCTAAATAGCAACCTGGGCTTATAACCACTTAACTAAACACTGCCTCTCAAGCTTTAATGAGCTTATAAATGATTCGGTAATGTTGGTCCCACTCGATGTGGTGTGATTCTACAGGTTTGGAGAGGGTCCATGAATGGGTGTTGAAGAAGTCCCCTGTCAATGCTGATGTTGCTCCCACGGGCTCATTATTAGCATTACTTAGAGAAAGCAGGCACAGCACAGTCTCCTGCATTTGGCACTCTTGTGACAACACAAATACTTCTGGCACAAATTAAGATAACAAATCTCCATCTTAAAGTATCATAATCTTTGCTGGCTTTTTAAAGTTTACAGAGAAAACAGACAGCAACAGTATCTAAGTCTGCATTTATTTATTCATTATTTAGACAGAGTCTCGCTCTATTACCCAAGCTGGAGTGCAATGGAGAGATCTGTGCTTACTGCAACTTCTGCTTTTCAGGTTCAAGTGATTCTCCAGCCTCAGCCGCCCAAGTAGCTGGGACTATAGGTGTGTGCCACCACACCTGGCTAATTTTTTTTTGTTGTTGTATTTTTAATAGAGATGGGGTTTCACCATGTTGGTCAGGGTGGTCTCAAACTCTTAACCTCAAATAGTCAGCCCTCCTCAGCCTCCCAAAGCATTGGGATTACTAGTATAAACCACCCCAATGGGCCATAAATCTGAATTTAGAAAACATGTACACCCGTAGTAATAAAATGTTTATTAAGCAGGTACTATGTGCTCAATAAGATTTTACAGAGCACTGTAATAACATATTATGGGATTTAATTCTAATAACACCCTATGTGCTGATACTAAGTGTTCAATAATTCCAAATATTTAGAAAAAAAAAACCAGAATTTTTATTTCTTCTCCTGTTTCTCTGTCACTGATTTTTTTAAAAA